AATGTGGACCTGGCAGTGTTGATTGGTTGGTGCTGACTTGGAAATGGGGACCCGGCAGTGTTGACTGGGCAATGTAAACCTGGCAGTGTTGACTGGGCAATGTGGACCTGGCAGTGTTGATTGGTTGGTGCTGACTTGGAAATGGGGACCTGGCAGTGTTGACTGGGCAATGTAAACCTGGCGGTGTTGACTGGGCAATGTGGACCTGGCAGTGTTGATTGGGTGGTGTTGACTCAGCAATCGGGACCAAGCAGTATGGACCCGGCAGTGCTGACCGGGCAGTGTCTTTCCGCTGGTGTTGACTCAGTGATGCAGGCCTGGCTCAGCTTACCTGAGGACAGGAGGCTGCCGCTGCTGCCACTGATGATCTTGCCCTTGCTGCCCATGTTGGCCAGCTTGGAGGTCTTCAGTGTGCCTGTCTCTGTCAGGTCAATGGCAATCTCACTCAGGCTCCGTGCCACGTGGATTTTGGACTGGTGGGGGTGAGGGGAAACATGTCATAGTTGCCTTGGCTCTGTGATCATGCTCATACCCCCAGACTCAGGTTCAGGGCAGTTTGCCTGTCCGGGCTACAATTCCCAGCATTCCCAGCTCCAGCCCCAGAGTTCCCATCAGAACCAGGATTTTGGAAAGCCAAGAGGAGCCCCTGCTGCCCGGCCCACCCACCCTCACCTTGCTCTGCTTCCTGTCCAGGTAGAACTGGTGCTGGCTGATGGCCATGGCCCAGATGGACTTGATGAGGGCGGGGCAGGCGTACCACGTGTGCACCGTGATGCCACTGTGACCGAAGGTACGCCGACTCACTGACGCCCTACAGTGGGACACAGATACACCACTTTATATTCACCGTTTACCCCTCAGGCCTGGGAGGCTGCAGGGGCATGTCAGATGGGAACCACACAAGACGTCTGGGTGCCCCCCCCCCCCCATTACTCTTGACAGCGTGCAGGTAATCTCAGCTGCACTTAGGCACATTGGAAATAGATGTAACCACCCCCCCCCAACTGAAAGTGTCAGAGTCTCGCCTCAGCACGGTGTGGGGGTGGGGTGGGGGGGTTCATCTCACTACGGCAGGCCAAATCAGCCGTGTTTCACCAGCTGGAAGCGATCGGCAGGGGCTTGGGGCTCCAGGCAGGAGCTCGAGGCTGAACCCCCCCCGGCCCAGCAAGCAATCCGCTACCCTATCCAAGATATTATCTCAGAATTCCTTTGCATTCCCCAGAGTTTGGTTATTGGGAATGGCGGCGCTGAGGACAAGCTGTGGGCAGGCAGAGCCCTGACAGAGCAGAAGGCGTGAGATTATCTCCACAAACAGCTGCCCGATGGGGGCCACAGAGAGGAAACGGTCATCAGATAAGAGCGAATGCAGCCCAAGTCAAGCCGGATGGGGAAAAGTGGCTGGAGTGACTCAGTAATCAGAGCGGGATCACGGCACTGCAGCACTTCCTACATAGAAAAACTGTGGCGTGTCAAACATTCCCGCTGAGCAGGCCTGGCGGAACTGCCCGAGGATGGACAGATGTTAGTACTCACTCATTAGAAAAAAAATTAAAAAACATATATATTTGAAAAGATTTCTAATTGGGTTTAAAATACTTAATGTATTCTCATTTCGAGCATGCAAGTGAGCAGAGATGCATGATGGGAAAATGAGGCATGATGTATATTTACCTGCGAGGGTCATGGACTTCCACGGAAAACTTCTTCTCTCGGAAGTAGAGGTTCTCCAACTGCCTCCACTGGAAGACCTGGAGGAGCAGGAGGCACGCATGAGCAGTAGACACGCAAGAGGAGTCACTCCCGTGTCCGTCTCCGCGCAGCACCGGGCTGAGGCTCTCCGTGGTACTCCGGGATCTGTACAGAGGAGATGCTGCTTGTTCTCCCCCTCCTGCTTCCACCGTGTGTGAGTGTGAGAGAGACACCTCCCTCTGAACACCTCCCTCCTGACTCCTCCCCAGGGAGCCTCGCTTCCTCCTTCCAGATCCGCCGCTGGCTAACACAAGCCTCCCCTCCCTGCCCGCGACACTGTCAGGCCACACAGCTGCGCCCCCCCCCCCCCCCCCCCCGAAAAAAAAACGGTGAGAAACTCCCCTAAAAGCCCTTGCCGGAGAGGATGTGTGGAACATCCATCTCACGGAGGGGGCCAGCTGGTGCTCCCTCAACAGGAAACATATAAATGCTCTCTTGTGCTGGGGAGGCAGTCAGAGAAACAGCGTCCAGGCGCCTTCACGCCGTGAGACCTTTACAGTGCGTGTGACACACAGGACTGCGGACGCACTGATGAACATGCCGGTAAACGAAACGCACACTGTACATCCAAGGAGAGCTGCATGCTCATTCAAAACCTGTGCCTCTAGTACGACCTCACCCCCCAGGGCCATGATTGTGTTTATCAGGTGGTGTATAGCTTCCAGGCCTCAGCAGCCCTCTGATCAGAAGGTCACTGGTTCAAATCTCAGCATTAGGAGAGTGATGTTGGGCCCTTGAGCCCTAATTGTTCCAGGAACTGTCTGACGCTGCTTCCTCAAAAATGTCCGTGCTTTGGGTAAATGCCATCCAATAAATAAATTTAGTGTAAATGGATCCACTGCAGATTTCTTCTGCTGCTGAGTTCTGGTGGAGACCTTCTCAAGTGGTTTTGATCACCAGCTTCATCCCATGGCAGTAAAAGACCCACAGAACCTTCCAATGTGTTTCACTGCCAGCGTGCAGCTGTTGGGCGGATGCACAGGGGGTGCAGACCCTGCAGGCCGTGCGCATGTTCTCACGCATTTCCAATAAATACTAAAAAAAAAAAAGAATCACCTCACCGCTTCCTGTTCCCACTGAATCCACACAGGTTTGAAGGGGAGCAGCAACACAAATCAAGAGACAGCCGTGCATTGTGGGATACTGAGCATGTATTACAAGGCCCAGAGACTGTTTGGCGTTACGATGCAGATTCTGTCCCTGTGGTGCTCTGCAGTATCTGTAATGTGCCACATAAAACTTGAATAAAAACACCCAGGAGATTCCTATTCCTCCAGATCTGCTCTATAAATGATTAAAATCTTAATATCAGCTTCTACAGTGATATTTATTTTTTGCAGGACAGCACAGTCAGGACCGCATGGTCAAGACAGTCAGGACAGCACAGTCAGGACCGCATAGTCAGGACAGTCAGGACAGCACAGTCAGGACAGTCAGGTCAGGACAAACAGGACACCATGGTCAGGACAGCACAGTCAGGACAGTCAGGTCAGCACAGTCAGGACTGCATAGTCAGGACAGTCAGGACAGCAGAGTCAGGACAGCATGGTCAGGACAGCAGAGTCAGGACAGCATGGTCAGGACAGCACAGTCAGGACGGGACAGACAGGGCAGGATGATATGGACAGTGCACTGTGTCCAGCCTACTCCCCTCCACACCTGAGGCTCCGGAGGGATCGACAGTTATCCTGGACATCATAGCGAAGGTGATCCACACGGGTACGTACCCTAGTCATGGTGATGCAGAAAGTGCAACCAGGGCGTGATGTTCAGACCCAAATGAATCACTGTGGTGAAAATGGGGCTTTTTCCACCCACATGTTGTGGATTATTTTATATAAAAATCATTATTGGTTTACTCCGGAAACTGGGGTCAGACTACCTACAGCTGGCACACAGATTCAGCAAAATGCAGCCAAATACTTGGGTTTTGGTGAGAAACCCTAATTAGACTAATCTTACAGTTTCATAAAATGAGTCATTGGGGACTATTCTGGTGTGTGTATGACACTTCAAAATGAAGCATCTTTAAGACCTGGAGGAGCTTCGACTTTTACTCCCTGAAGCGAAGAGGCAGATGCCTGACAGACAGCTGCCATGCACCCACACCCTCGGCCCTCAGTCACAGCCAATCGCTCTTCAGAACAAAAGCTTGACCTTCTGCAAGGCAGAGATGCTACTCAAAGCAGCCATTTGCAGACAGTGGCTGGGCGACGGTTCCCGCTTCCACATGGGGTCTCCAAACCGGCGGTAGGAGCAGCGCGTCATTGCTGTGTCTGACTCCACCTCCCAGCGATCTCGTCCTTCTCAGCACATAGAATGGAGAACCAGAGGTGCCACCCCGAAGACAGCCTTTCAGTCTTTAAGATCATCCTGCACATTTCCAGAAGTTCATATCAGATGTTTATTGCCATGGTAAAACTGGCATATTCCATCAGGGGTGCCAATATCAGGCGTCAGGACAGCACACGGCTGAACACGGGTCTGTGAGATCACAGAGCAGAACACGGACAGGGACCTGAACAGGTGGCGACTACATCATACGGTATCCAAATGGCCCAGATTGCTGGGTCTGGTCTGTTTCACACCAAAGGAACACAGACATGGACCTGAACAGGCGGCACCTACATCATACGGTATCTGAATGGCACAGGCTGAAAAGGTCACTGGAATAGTGCTCACAGAATGCCAGTGAAACTGGCACCGCGACCAACAAACCTATTGGCTGACTGCTCTGTTGAACCCTGGTTATACCCACAGACATTAATTCCATACCTAAAATAATTAAACATTTTCATATTAAATACTGAAATCAGCAATGGGGGAAGTGACTCCCACCTCAACGCCTCTCTGAAGAAGCAGGACATGGCGTCACTGCTCCCACTCTGCCACCACTGACACCCAGGGGGGCTGCAGATGATCCTCCAGCTATTTCCTCCCAGGATCAGCCACACGACACCCAGAGTGGCACCCGGTGATGAAGAACGAGGGCGGGACAGCGCAGGTATGGCGTGTGCACGGGGACCAGCAGGCAGCTCTGTCAGGCTGCTGCTCCCCCTCTGGCTAACGCGCAGACTGCAGTCTCAAGCTGGTCCAGGCAGGACTAATGTCTGCTGTTTCCTCAGCCCCATAGGATTATGGGAAAGAGACCCACCCTCTCTGACTCACCTTGCGCGGCTTTACTTTGTCCTGGTAGTCATACAGGAAGATGCCCTTGTAGCTCAGGCCCAGCCACCAGGGGATGCCCTGTTTGTCCTGTTCAAGACAAAGGGCCGCCAGTAAGGACAGTGAAGCATTACGGGTAACATCTCTTCACATTTTGACCTGTTCCACTGTTTCAATCAATTACTCTTTAGCACTATAACTATGGATTTTAATTACTGGTGTTAATTAGATGTCGAGATTCTGTTGAGGGTTGTTTTTGCGTCTCTGCTGGCTGGGGCTTGGCATCCTGCAGAAGCGCAAACTACATGTGTTCGGCTCTCAGTACGTCGGTGTCTTTGCTCCTCCCATGAAGCGCCATTCCAAGTGGAAAAGGTTACGGTAACAAAGGCAGCGGGCAGCATGGAGATGAGGGCTCCCTGTCATCTCTGGCATTTTGCTCGGACAGGAAAAGCGTTTAATTCTGGGTCGTCGCTAAAGGAAGCTGGAGGCACCAGAACAAGATCCGCAGAAGCACATGCCCAGACGGGTCCTTTGTGACCCCAGAACCCCCCCAACCCTCAGTGTCCCGCAGTCAGATGCACACCTACACATTATCTGCTGTGGTCATGGACACCATGGTCTGTCAGCATGGTTACCTGCGGCCAAAGCCCTGGGTGAAATGTGAACCACATGCTACGAGCTGAGAGCCGGTGTCCTGAAGTTATGTGGAGGTAGTGTGGTGAGCATGAAGACATACCTTCACGGCGTAGTAATGGACTCCATATGTAGGCAGGGATTCCACTATGCTCATGTAACTGTGAAGAGAAACAGAGAGACAGACTGCAGTTATGGAAGGTGAGGTTAACATATGGCAGGGCTTGTGGGGCGTGGCTTATATAGGCAGGGCTTGTGGGGTGGGGCTTATATAAGGCAGAGCATGTGGGGCGGGGCTTACATAAGGCAGGGCTTGTGGGGCAGGGCTTACATAAGGCAGGGCATGTGGGGCGGGGCTTACATAAGGCAGGGCTTGTGGGGTGGGGCATACATAAGGCAGGGCATGTGGGGCAGGGCTTACATAAGGCAGGGCTTGTGGGGCGGGGCTAATATAGGCAGTGCTTGTGGGGCGGGGCTTACATGGGGCGGGGCTTACATAAGGCAGGGCTTGTGTGGTGGGGCTTACATAAGGCAGGGCTTGTGGGGCGGGGCTTACATAAGGCAGGGCTTGTGGGGCGGGGTTTACATAAGGCAGGGCTTGTGTGGCAGGGCTTATATAAGGCAGGGCATGTGGGGCGGGGCTTACAGAAGGCAGGGCTTGTGGGGCGGGGCTTACATAAGGCAGGGCTTGTGGGGTGGGGCTTACAGAAGGTGGTGCTTAGGGAAGGCAGGACTGAAGGAAGGCAAGTAAAACAGTCACAGGTGACAAACATACAAGCTTGACACACAGGCACCGCTCTGGACTTAGCGGCTCCTACAGTCAACATAAAGCTGACACACATATAGCGGGAGAGTGAGAGCCAGATCGGTGGTGGGCGGGGCTTGCGGCTTCCTCGCACTTACTTGACGATGGCCTGGCCCCTGGACTGACCCCCGAGCTTCTTGTAGTGCTCAATGACACGGTCCTCACTGAAACAGGAAGACCGCAAGCATCTCCGTTAGCAACACTGCACCGCGCTGTAGGAGGACAGTATGGAGGCCAGACCAAAAAGGCAGAGAGGGACAGGACAGCATCATGGCAGTGTTCATGTTCAGAGAGAAACACCTCAGCAGAGGAGCAGATGTTTGGACCAACATTCCAACATCAGTATAGAAGTTGAATGTGGTGCTGACTCATTTCCAGAACCTTCTACAAGCCAGGGAATATGACACCTAAACATGATCTGTCTGAGGTCCAGAAACAGCCAGACAGGAAGCAGAAGAACATGGAGCATGGGGCCGACGAGCTTCCAGGTCCAGCTCACATATCAGAGAGTCCCGGCTGCGTGGTGACGCTTAGGGGGGATACGATGGGGCTCGGGGTGGGGGGGGGGTTACAGCTGCTGAATCAGTCCCGCTCTCTAATGTGACTATCCCTCCTGGCAGGGAAGCACAACTGCCCTTAGCATGCAGCCTGGTGCTCCATTGAACTCCTAAAACAGTTATACAGTCATGAACAAATTAGCAGACCAAACCTGGATCCGCCAAGTTAAATGATGTAACATATAGTTCCACCATACATGATGGGAGGTAGAAGAACAGGGGTTCAGAACTGACTGAGTTTTAAATTCTCTTCCCATTGGTCATTGAGTTAAAGCAAGAAGTGATTGACAGGATGAATTTATAAGACCTTATTTTCCCATAGTAAATGTAAAATGGAAGAAGATGGATGTTATCTATGCCATATATAAGCTATACACAAACACGTCTGCATGCAGGAGACTAATCTAAGAAAATAATCGCCCCCGTTCTTTTACCAGTCATAAATTAGGGCCTGAAACATATCGGACGTCATGCCTCTCGGTCACAGAGCATCCACAGGACACTGTATGAAGGTCTCTGGCGCCTTCCACTAAAATGTTAACCCAGCACTGCAGAGAGCTGCTTAGAACCCTCATCTCCCTCTGATCAGCAACAGAAGGCATCGGGACCAGCACTGAGAGCCCAACCCAAACAGGACCTCATTTAATCCCTGTTAAAACATTTCATCCCCGTTAAAAGGAGAGCATGGATTCATTCCCATCGTGCGTCGCCCTCTGTGGTTACTTTAAATATTTACAAAAATTACCCCAAGGTAGAGGAGCTAGTGAAAGCGCTCTGGGTGGGGGGGTACAGCTCACCAGTAGGCTAGCGAGGGGTGCTCCTTCAGCACCTGGGTTGGCAAAGCCGGAAGCTTCTTCAGATCAGCCCTCGTTGCTTCATTGCTGAAAAGAGAAGAAGCGTGTTTAGTGAGGTGGTGTGAGGAGAGCCGTCTCCCCCCATCGGCATCAGTACGACCCTGCACCCCAAGAGGCCTGCTTTTTAGCATAGGGAACCTTCCAGACTCTGCTCATTTGCATTTCTGTGTGCAAAAACTAGCCCTAATGCTGGCTGGTCCTGCATGGTTAGGTTTATCACTGCCAGTGGAGGGGGGGGGACTATAATGAGAGCCCCATTTCTGTGATGTTTCTTTGGGAGGCAAGTCTGAGAAGCAGCTGGGCAGAGATGGAGAAGACAGCCAGCCAGGACCCGCCAAGGCCGAGCCTGTGACGCCCCCTGAGCGATGTCACACCGCAGAGCAGCTTGAGTCTGCAGTGACCGTCCCGTTCGCTCTAGTCACCATGTAACACCCTGATGTGTCACTCCCATTCCTGTTACCTTCATCCCAGAGCTTAGAAACCCACCTGAAATGTGCCAGTAAGGCAGCAGGGTCACCTCATATTTCTGAGCCTTTATGCATCTCTAGAGCGAGAAGTGGCTCATGATCAGGTACTGACCAGCGCAGGACCGATTCCAACACCATCTATTAAAGAGTTTCCCGGAAGGGAAGTGAGTAGGACAAATGTCCAACAGGGACCCGGACTACACATGATTAGTCACACTCTAAGATGTTCTTGCTGTGCATTCCGCATGAGGCCCGGGCAGGGGGGATGACAGGGAGAGAGCATGGTGACACTGCTGTCCCATTCTGACATACTCTCTGACAGTGACTGCTGTCCCATTCTGACATACTCTCTGACAGTGACTGCATGACGGGCAAGGCCGCCCGAGCACTCTAACTCGTCACCACTTCACTGGTGACCCTGCGCCGGATTCAAGGCCCTTAAATGTCCTGAAATGCCGCCCGCGCTCCAATGGACAACCACAGCCCCGACGTCACTCTGCAGATGGAGGGACGAGGTGAGTCTGTGTGTGAAAGTCCCCGGAAGATGCCGGGGCAGCATAAGAACGTGGGTGCTGTAAGCGACTGTGGGCAGAGACGCCTTTCTCTTCATTGATGAAGGAGTGAGAGCATTCCGGCTAACCAGAGGACCAATCAGTGGCTCCCCCTACTGGTGCAAAAGTACACAGCTTCTACTAACAGAGCAGTAAACCCACACTAAGGTCTTCAAAAGTGCTTTAAACTTTGCCTACACTTCCTTGTGAAAACAGGGATTGGAATCAGATATTTTTAATTGCATTCAAAACACTGACAACACTGACACAGACCAAGGACAGCAATAACATTATCAGGAAGAACAAAAACATTAGAAACAAAATGTCTCAGCTGGCTGTAAATCTAAAGTAATCAAGGCAAGGAGACAGAATATCGTCTACAGAGAACATCTCACCTAGAGGGAGCTGAAGGACACGGGTGGGTTAGGGTTAGGGTTAGGGTTAGGGTTAGGAATGAGACGGTGAACAGTGGGGACGCCTGAAGTGGGAAGCTGGGCAGGACTACACCGGTGTGATCACGGTGACTGTGGCTCTGGGTGAGTCACTGTAATAGGAGTCAGAAAGCCCACCCACGTTCCCCTGGGGTACTGATCGCTAACGACGACAGTGCTCAGCGGCATTAGTTGAGGGAGGCATGGAATTCACACACCACATTCCAGATCATGGGAAAGCTGCTCTCACACCACAACCGGCGAGGACTAGTGGTCAAGAGCCTATTCTACGTGATTTTGAGACAGTACAGTGCCACCCGGAGGCCACACGGACAGCTGCACCAATTGTCTTACACTTAATTTTATAACAAATATCAGTGAACAACAAAAAGCAAAACAATTCTGCTCAACCGACTCCCCGCAGGTTTTTATTTTGATGCAGAGTTAGAATTTCTGCTCCATTTTCTGTTTATGTTTTTGTGTTTTGGGATCCTTGATTGTATCTGTTTACAATGCATTGTTTATTGTCAGTCTGTTTATAACCCAGTGGGGGGGGGGCAGACCCCACACTTCGCATGGGTGTGGGGGGGCTGCCAAGGCACACACATTCCAGCAGCCTACTCTCAAAGCAGCGTGATGAGGGTCTTACCTGGTGAAGTCACCTTTGGCCTCCTGTTATGAGAGAACAGAGGATGACAGAGGGTCAGAGACAAGCGCTGGGGTCCACGCTGCCACGCATCTCCTGGGGAGGGACTGGGCATGTGGGACTGACCCAGGTAAAGCAGTCCTGGACAGCGTAACCCCCACCCAGAGGGGCACCTTCTAAGGACCCCTGGTCTGGTTCCATACCATCACCCTCCCACTGGACTGCCTTTAAAGCCCCAATCTCCTACATGCAGTGGCTGACAGGTGGAAACAGTGCGGCGTGAAGCTGATGAAGCTGCATCCTGCTTACCTGAAGTATGTAGGAGGCCAGTTCAAAGACCACTTCACTGTCAACATCAATGAGCTCCTGAGGAGACAACAAGAGGAGAGGCTGTGGACATCTGAGGTTAGGAGCCTCAAAGGGGGGCACCTGGGTTAACTGGAGACACACCTCAGAGGGGGACACTTGGGTTAACTGGAGACGCACCTCAGAGTGGGACACCTGGGCTAACTGGAGACGCACCTCAGAGGGGGACACCTGGGTTAACTGGTTTCTGAATGTGACAGGAAATAAACTGCACACTCTTACAGGAGTCACAACCTGGACTGATTGAAATCCAGAGAAACCAAGGCTGGCCCACCAGAGCCGAAAGATCACTGCCTGAACTGGAGATGAAATAGCTGTTTGAAAACACAGCATGATGGGAAAGTCAAAGCTTAGTATGTAAGGTGCTATATCCCACTGACACCTACCTGGTACTCATATCATAATGATCTTTTAGATGTGTCAGAAATTAACCCCCCCCCCACACACACACACACACACACACACACACACACTCTTAAACCAAGAAGATGAAAAAAATATCAGCTTACCTTGTAGATACAAGACTTTGCATTGAGGAAAAACAGTTCAATAGTTGCATTATCCTTCAGGTACGATATACTCTCGATGTAAAACCTGGAAGGGAATAAAACAGTGTCATATTACACACACACACAACAGTATCACTCAGTTCCTTTACAGTTTAGTGTTGCTTTTGGCATTATTTTAAATAAAAACACCATCAAATGACCTTCGAGTTCACAACAAGAAGCAAATAATCACTTTGAGTCAATCTCTTACTGTGCAACTCTGTTACTCTCTGCAATATCGTGCCTCCACTTCAATGTATGTCTGTCTTCACATGTACATTACCTCACCTCCATGTGCAATATGGTGCATCACAGTGCACTGTATAAATATATATGCATGTATATTTATTCATTTATTTTTACAGTGTATTTAATTTAGCTTTTTAATTCAAATTTTTTATTTACCTTTTAAAATCGGTTTGCATTGAAAGGGACTGCATCTAATTTCATACTTTTACAATGATAATAAAGATTCTTATTCTGATAACATTTTGCTCTGGTTTTACCTGCAGTGTTGATTAAAACCACTAGAGGGCAGACAACAACCTACAGCCCTGTGCTGAGATCTGACCTGCAGTGCCTGTATCTGTTCCTATGAAATAATAAGATGATAACCTCTGTTGATAGGCTGCAGCCACACAGCTATCTATGTAAGAGTTTCTCTGTGTCTGGGGGGTGCTTAAGCATGGGGTGTGTGGAGGAACATCTCACTGGGAATGAGAACTCTGCTCTGAGCCGTGGGGGGGCAGCACATCACTGACCTGATGCCCAACCCTCCACGTGGGTAAAGACCATCAGACAGACCTCAGTTTTTGACCGCACCATATCTGAAGCTAACCCACGCCGTATCTGAAGTGGATTCACACCTGGCTATAGGAAGATGCACACTTCACTCATTCTTCCTCCAGAGGTTGCCAGCGGAGGTGTTCAGACCTTGCATTTGTGTGGGGCTCCCAAGGTTTGAGTTAGACTCACAGACACTACACCAAACAGGAAATAAATTTGCTATTTATTTAGGAGGTGCTGAAGCAGCATGTTCTGCTAACCAGCTAACTAGCTACCATCTTCTGACTCCTAGCTGAGCCTCACTGAGACCACAGCTGAGTCTCAATGGCATCAAGGAGGCCACATGAATCTGAGAGTGAAAAACAAATGACATCTTAGCATGTTTCTCCGGGAACGAGGCTGTGAACCCAATTAACCTGCAGAAAATCAAACTGCTGCTGCCTGACTGGATATGGCAGCTCTTCCACCATGTCAGATCAGAGGAGTTGGGCTGTTTCTCTCTGCACGTTGACTTAAGAGGTGTGATTCTGGGACGAGGTGATTTAGTCATATCGACAGGCCTTTTAATCGAGGGCCTAAATGACGTGTTTAGTGGCAGGAGCTGTGGCCGAAAGCAGCTTCCCAGTCAGGGAGGCTGCACCAGGACAAGCCGGCCTGGAGCTACAACGCTGAGTTCCCATCAAATCACCACTGAGTATTATCAATCAGCACCAGGGCAGATACCCCATGGCATCCCATAGTATAAAACCAAGAAACACAAACTACCGTTCTTTCCTGAGTATGATTCAGGGCCTGCATCTCCATGTCGCCTAGGAAACAAAGCCCAAACCTACAGCAGGGGTTATTCATGCCGCTGCTCACCGCAGAGGCACCTGGAGCTCCACAGGCCCGTGTGTGGGTGGTGGGGGGGTGTCCCTCTCAGTAAATTTGAGCAGCCCAAAATTCAGCTGTTCAGTCGGTAGTTGGACCTCAAAAGGGAAGTACACTAAATTATTCGCATCCCCAAGCCCACAGAGCTATGCCCTGTGCCTGGACCCCGCCCCCCCAGACCCAGAGAGCTATGCCCTGTGCCTGGACCCCGCCCCCCCAGACCCAGAGAGCTATGCCCTGTGCCTGGACCCTGCCCCCCCTGATCCGGAGAGCCATGCCCACAGCCTGGTTGTTGGCAGGGACCAGATGCTGAGACAATGAAATTGGAGACTTGCTGACATATTAGATGCTTCCAGGTTCCCAAGGATTTTGTAAGGACAGCAAAACACAAATATCTGTATGTGAGCTTTGAATCTTTTAGGGTACCAGGCAGGGCACCAAACAAAGCACCGAGCAGGGCACCAACCCATCCACCAACCAGGGTACCAGGCAGGGAACCAATGCGTCCACCAACCAGGGTACCAGGCAGGGCACCAACCCGTCCACCAACCAGGGTACCAGGCAGGGCACCAAACAAAGCACCGAGCAGGGCACCAGGCAGGGCACCAACCCATCCACCAACCAGGGTACCAGGCAGGGCACCAATGCGTCCACCAACCAGGGTACCAGGCAGGGCACCAACGTGTCCACCAACCAGGGTACCAGGCAGGACACCAACCCGTCCACCAACCAGGGTACCAGGCAGGGCACCAAACTGTCCACCAACCAGCGTACCAGGCAGGGCACCAACCCGTCCACCAACCAGGGTACCAGGCAGGGCACCAACCCGTCCACCAACCAGGGCACCAAACTGTCCACCAAGCAAAGCACCAAGCAGGGGAGGGTACCAAACTGGGCACTAAGCAGAGCACCACCTCGAGAACGAACAGGGCACCAATCCGGTCAACAGGCAGGGCACCAGGCCTACGGCCAGCAGTGATGTGTGTCCGTGACATCATACACAATGCCCCAAGACCAACACTGAAGCCTCACTTTGTTATAACTGATTCAATATCTGCTGAGCTGCAGCACAAAAGACACAAATGCAATTCATACCAATTATGTTTCAGGAATGAAACTAAATTGAAGGGAGGCATGTTCCCCTTCTGAGTGAGGTCATGCTTCTGAGTCACATGACTGTGCTTTCTTTCCAGAGCCCTCTGGGGCTTGTGGGTGCTTTTGGTATCCTCCCCTATCTCCAGTTACAGCGGTAATGCTGGTCTACCTGCCCTGAAAGCATCAGGAGGTTCATTAAAGCCCCACATTTCCTCCCCAGGGTCAGTGACACCCCCACCCAAAAAAGATAAGATTACAGACAGTTAAGGAGATAAAAACAGGCACAGTGGTGACATCAGGAAATGGGGGGGGGTGACAAGACACAAACACACACACACACAGACAGACAGACACACACACACACACACACACACACAAAGACAGACAGACACACACACACACACACAGACACACACACACAGACAGACA